CCCGGAGAGGATGGAATCACGACGGAGCTCCTGGAAGTAAGTAGAAAACAGGTGCTCGAGCGACTCCGACGTATGTTTGATTCCGTTCTCTTCTCGGGGACAGCTCCAAGGGCATGAAGCAAGAGTGTTGTCGTTATGTCCTTTAAGAAAGAAAACAAAACCCTCTTGAACTACTATCGACCTATTTCCCTTCTGAGCCATATCTACAAGCTATTTTCCAGAGTCATCACTAACCGTCTCGCGCGAAGACTCGATGAGTTTCAGCCCCCTGAGCAGGCTGGGTTCCGAGGAGGATATTGCGCCATAGACCACAATGCAGCAGATTGCAGAAACTAGCCTTTGTGGACTACAAGAAAGCCTTTGTAAACCGAAATTGAAACTTGGTAACAGACCAGGTTTCAATAGTCTTGAGTCTGGAGTCCTTGCAACGGTGCAAAGTCGATTGGTAATATGGCCAAGTGCTGAGAGATCTATACGATGCTGCAACTCTGGTCGTCCAAGTAAAGAACCAGCAGTCTGAACCTGTCCACCTGGATCGGGGGGTGAGACAAGGCGATGTTATTTCTCTCAAATTATTTACCAAGGACGGGGCATAAACGGCAAATATCTCTCACACTTGAGATTTGCAGATGACATCGTCATCGTGGCTGAAACCGTGCAAGACCTACAATATATGATGAACAGCATGGCTGATTCTTCTGCTCGCATTGGACTCCGGATGAACCTAGAAAAAAACGAAGGTTCAAGTTCAATGAACATGTTCTTCCTTCCGGAGCCGATCAACCTGAATGAGTCTACTCTCAAGGTTGTTCAGTAGTATGTCTACCTAGAACAAACCCTAACAATTAGAAACAATTTTGAGAGGGAGGCTCGTAGAAGGATACAGCTTGGCTGGGTGGCATATAAGAAACTCTATCGGGTCTTTTCGTCAACTCTACAGCAAAGCCTGAAGACAAAAGTCTTCAACGAGTGCGTCCTACCATTAATGATAAACGGAGCTAAGACGTGGACACTAACAGTGCGACTGGTCCACCAATTTATAGTGGCGCAGCGAGCTATGGAGAGGGTTATGCTCGGAGTCTCTCTGAAGGATAGGATCCGTAACGAGGTGATCCGACAGAGAACTAAAGTTACCGATGTAGCCCAAAGGATTAGCAAGCTGAAATGGCAGTGGGCCGGTCACATACGTCGAAGAACCGATGACCGCTGGGGTAGACGTGTTCTAGAGTGGAGACCGCGTCTAGGCAAACGTGTAGGGCGCCCTCCAGCTAGGTGCAGTGACGATATACGTAAAGTGGTTGGTAGTGGTTGGATGCGTAGAGCTGAAGACCGAGCTCAGTGGCGTGCCCTTGGAGAGGCTTATGTCCAGCAGTGGACGAAAACAGGCTGTTGATGATGACGAAATATGTAATATTAGGTTAGTCCCTCGATATTATCACCGTATTCTATGTCACAGGATTAAGTATCTTTTATGATTTTTAGGTGGATCAATATACAATAAGTAGAAGTACTACAGTATAATATTGACTTACTTGTGTTAATTTGCTAGGTGTGGAACTTCAACACTGGTTTATGCTTGCGAGAACTATCCATTGAGCACATGTGCGAAGTGACAAGTTGCTTTTGGGTGGAAGGAAGGTGAGTCATTGCCATCAACCGGGGTGCGGATATGTGATAGGTGTAGAGTCTCTGAAACTTTGGTTTTGAAATAGGTACTCAAAACTTTCAAAAGCGCCTAAAGAAGGATTCATTGAAATAAATACTTTGACTTTCTCTTTTACCTTTGCAACGATCATTGTGTAATTGGATCAATAAAGGTGATGCTGTTTTATACGTCCTATGCACATAAATACATATAACTATACTGTGCTAGGATTTTGGCCATCGGTTGGAATCGTCACGTAATAGAGTTCGACGATACGGGCATGGCAACTAGCGGCAAGACGTGGGAGACACGGCACACGGACGACGTGATGGCTGCAGCGGTGCGGCCCCCGCTGTCACTGGCCACCGCCAGCTACAACTCCGAGCTCGTGATGTGGAAGCTGGAGACTGGCCAGCCCTACAGGTAAACAGATTCATTACCGAAGCAAGTATAGAAGTCCACTCAATCACTTTAGAAAAATAAATCAGTTATTCATTTTCCTTCACAACATTGATTGCTCAGTTGCGTTGCGTTTTTTTTAATAAAATAATACACATTGTCACATTGCAGGCGATTCTTGTGCACGGAGCCTACGTTACGCATCAAGATGGTATACAACAAGCGAGACGCTATCAGGCCACCCTCTACTGCCGCCGCGGATAAGGGGGCGACATTACAGAAGAAGACTTCTCCAGTGCGCAAACATTCAGGGTACGTAAACAAACGATAATTGTTGAGTACCTATATTGACTTTAATAATTCTTACTTATACTTACAATTGAATAGCATGCATATCGCCGTACTAAGGTTAGTAGTTGGTAGTAGTAAGGTTGGTATAGTGGCTAGCTCATTAACCTATAACGGCAGGAGGGGTTACCATCGGCGCGAGTCGAGACGACGATGAAGTACCTGGGACTCGTCCTCGGCAGTCGGTGGAACTTGCTGGAGTACTTCCGAAGTTTGGCTCCAAAGTTGGAAAGGACGGGGGCGGGGCTTAATTGCCTCCTACTCAACCTCGGGGGGCCAAATGCCTCCTACTGGAGGTTATACACCGGGGTAGTGGGGTCCATGGCCCTCTACGGCGCCCCTGTGTAGGCGCCGAACCTGATGCGGCGGCCCGCTCGGGCGCTACTCACCAGAGGGTCATGGCGATCCGAATGATCCGTGGATACCGCACGATCTCCGGGGAGGCGGCGAACCTCCTTGCCGGAATACCGCCTTGGGATCTGGAGGCGAAGGTGCTCGCGCGCGTATTTTCTCTGCATGCGGAGGCCCGTCGCTGGGGTGAAACTCCGATGCCGAGCCAGATTAGTGCGTGGCGGAAAGAACTCCGAGGTGATCTCATGGCGGAATGGCAGCAACGACTGTCGAAACCGAGGGCTAGGCTCGCTGCCATTGCAGCGGTATGTCCCCTCTTTGAGGAGTGGCTTGAGAGACGCTACGGCGTCCTTACCTACCGCCTAACGCAGCTCCTCACCGAACATGGAAGTTTCGGGAGGTACCTGTGTCTGATGGGGCTGGAGGAAACGCCCGGGTGTCATCACTGCGAGGACCGCCCTGAGGACACAGTGGAACACACTGTAGGGGAATTCCGTGCGTGGACTGAGCACCGACGTGCCCTCAGGGACATGATTGGCGACGGCGACCTCACGCGTCCGGTCTGGCCCTAGTGCGGGCCATGTTGCGGAGCGAGGGGGACTGGGATGCCGTCTCCTCCTTTTGCGAAGCAGTCATGCTAGCTAAGGAGGAGGCGGGGCGCATGACCGTAGCGCTGCCTCCTCACAACCCAGCCGTCGCGAAGGACACTCCGGGCGTCGGGGATCGCGGGACCGTCCGACCAGAACCCACCCTTAAATAGCCATCAGACCACCTCGGATGGTGCCCAATAGGGCTGATGCCGATACGGAGTCGCGGAGAACCTAACGGGTTACCGGGGCTCCGGCTTGAAGTGCAGGAGTAGGAACGGGGTGGTTTTTAGTCAGTAAGAGTCTGATTCGATGATTTTCCCCCTAAAAAGTAAAACTCCAATGTGTCAATTATTGTTGGATTGGATTTTCGACTTTATAACTAAATAATAGAGTTGAATAGAATCTGACAATACAGAAAAGAGTAGTTAGGTTGACTAGAGTACTAGTTATGACAAAGTCAACTGGGTGCCTAGTGCGAATTTCTTCTCTGATTCGATCGTGTAATAAAGTTAACTAACGATTAATGCGCTGTGTCGTGCAATTGTACGTACTGCTAAGGAGTTCTTTGAAAGAATCTGTATAATCTGAAGGGTAACTATGGTTACAACCTGGGTGTCTTCAAGGCCTGAGTAAATAGGTTGCTTATGGGATGACTGAAGACGTGCTCCATCGTAGACTGCATCATCGCTTACCACCAGGCGAGATAGTGGTCAAACGTCAGCCCATCAAATACAAAAATAAATTGTGTGCATCTTACCGTTTACGCGACGTACGGCCTGTGGATGTACATATATACATATACACATACATATCTACACATCCCGGTTGCTTATAGACGGATTTTCTAAGAAGTGCATCTAAACATCAGTAGTTTAATACACTCTAAAACTTATTGTGTTTGTGACCCAGGTCGGGTAGCTATCGTGACGACGTGGACCCGGCAATGGCCATTAAAAAAGCCAACGCGCGGCGCTCGTCAACGGTGAGTATGCCGAGCCACGCACAGACAATGCGCCACCTCGCCGTGCACGCCATGGTCTTTCTAGAGACACGACCGCATCATGCACACGTCGGTTAGTTCAATCTTTAAATAACTTTTTTATGTACGTTCTAATAGGTCTTCATTTATTAATGTGTACACTTCATTATAGCATCGTTGATGCTCGCTTTGGAGAATGGTCAAATACAGTGTTGGTCGGATCACTCAGCGGGCGGGATCCAAGGATCATTCCAGGCCGTCCACTCGTCGGGTGACTACGTGTCCTGTTTGGCCACAGATGCCACCAACGAGTTCCTGTTCACCGGTACCACACAGGGGTACATTAAAGTGTGGCTGATGACCAACTACCTCACGAACACAATGGTCAGTAATTCATGGAGAGCTGAGTTGATCTAGTTTTTGTATTCTAAGGACTAGAGACTGAATTATGTGAAATTATTACGTACATACCTTTTTGCATGATACGCAAATGATAGTTATTTAAGACATATTTAATAATAATAATTAATAATAGAAATACTTGCCGAGTTCATTTATATTTTAGCATATTTTAACTAATGGTCATAATTCAGATCAGAATGTTATTTGGTCTCAATTGTGTTTTAATTTTGGATATTTGCAAAGTATATTATAATGGTAATATAACATGATAAAGGAACACATCAGTATGCCGCGGCTCCGTCTGATGTTCCCGTTCCTGTGGCGTGACCGCATCGAGGGTCGCGCCAAGCGCAGTGTGCGGGACCAGCCCAAGCCGCTGCTACTGAACAGCTACCGCGCACACCTCCGCTGTGTTACTGTAATCGAATATGTCGACGAGCTTAAACTTCTTTATACGTAAGTCGTACCTACAGAGAGTTTGTTTGTTTGATCGCGCTAATCTCTGAAACAACTAAAAACTAAAAATAAAATTTCTTATCTGCTTATAATAATTTGATTATTAATTCCTTATATGCTTTTGTGCTAGCGGCAGTTCAGACTACAGCGTTCGAGTGTGGCGTCTGTCAGGCGAGTACCTGCAGACACTGGGCAGCTTCCTGCCGTGGACCCTGGAGGTGACGCGCTTCCCGCCCGACGTGAAGAAGGTCGCCAGCTTCACCACGTTCAAGGTGAGCGCCAGCCGGCGGCCACACGCCGCGTCACAGTGTGCTGAGGGCGGCAGTGAACCAGTGCGTGCTGTCTGCAGGTGTGGCGCAGTGGCCAAGTGTCGCGCTACGTGCCGGGGCAGAAGGTGGTGGACAAGCTGCGCGACATCACCGAGCACGAGCTCAGGACCAAGACCTTCGGCGAGGCGCCTAACGAGCCGTTGCTTGGGAAGTACTACGCTCTACCGATCAGACCTGAACGACAAGATAAAATCGTACTTGACGACTCAATGACAACGGTTAGTTGCGCTAAGTCACTGTATGTCGTGTAACAATAGTTTTTTTCAGTCCAGTTATCGCTAAAGTTTAAGCTGTAGGAAATTGACTAATAACTGAATTAATTTTACTGTAATGATAGCCTATATTGTTTTAAGTGTGTTTGTTTCACTATGTAGTATAGCGCCATGCCTGTCGGACCGGCCAAGATATGCATAGAACCTATTAGAAAGGATTTAAAATGTTTTTCTGTTAGGTTCCGCTGTTTGCTCACCTACGTATGGCGTCCACGCAGCCCGTGCGGCGCCCGCCTACCCCTGATTTGGTACGGAAGACTCGATTGAAGCGCCAGTTGAAGAAGGCGCAGCACCATGACCAACCAACTACTCAGTTCCAAATCAACGCACCGATACATAAAACATCAATCACGACACAGCCTGCAAAACGTGCGTCCTCGAGCGCCCAGCAGTAAGGCCGCGAGTCCCGCGACCCGTGCCAGTTGCCATAACTAGTGTGAAATCACTACGGGACGACAACAATATTATAATAGTAGAGTGTATGGAGGCAAATCTTGCCGAAAGTAGGTACAATAGAACTTCGTAGTAAAAGAAGAGGTCCCGTAGGTTGACGCCTAGTAAGGGGCAGTGGGCACGCTGATGCTGACGTGAGCCGCGAGCGTGGGCGACACACAAGTTGTATTATTTGTTAATGTCAATAAGGGTGTCCTTAAATCTTTAATTTAATTTAACTTTCATTTTTAGGGAATAGTAGGTGTCTAATAACTACCTAGTACCTACCATTTGTTAGGGGTTTATTATAGGGACGTGTTACTGCTAAGTTGCCTGCTATAAACTTTATACTGTTTTATAAGGTAATGTTACTTTTAATTATCATAACTTATTGTTTAATTACTTATGTACTTATTTATAATAATACATTTAATGTTATTTTTACTAGCAGTATTAATTACTGTAACTAATATGATTAAGCTCTTTATTATGTTCAGCATGTGTACTTTTAATAAACATGAAACAACTACATAAGTATGCAGTTTTAATGTATGTAAATGTGGTAATACCCTTCACCTATTGTAGCTCGAAAACAGATAGGTACAATCACGTACATCACTTCCAAACGTGTAATGTGTCGCGGGTTTCTCACACGGAAAAACTCTTTTTGTGTGATCCACAAATTGTTATTCCGGGTCTGGGTGTCATGTGTATGTGAACTTGTATGTTTGTAAACGCGCCTACGACATAGGATAAAATCCTAGTGTGGGGCAACGGGCCGAACCGCATCGAACTCATTTCGAGAGTTCGAATTGACGTCTTACAGAATAGCCTGGCTATACACAAGTAGGTAGGTAATCAGAAATAGCACTACAAAGTGCTATTTCTGATTATGGTAGATTCATCTCAAAAGTCATCTCGCAAATCACCTCACAATTTATTCTTTAAAAACTCATAAAAAATGCCAAGTCCCCAAGAAAAAGCCAGCCAAATGTTGCTGAATACTGTCCTACTCCTACTAGTCCTATATTATTGAAGACGAAATGAGACGAGGTGCGAAAGTTTGTAGGGGGTTAATTGTACATATTATGGATGCAAATGCGTGTATATTTGTAATGTTTAATACATCTACTTATCTATAAAGATACGATCTTCATACGGACCAACCTTTTTCTTATTATTTTATTAGTTTTGACGACAGTTTTGTTGTCAATGTTAATTTTCAGATCGTAATTCCTATGACATTTGTAGTTACATACATAATTTTATTTTAAGATATTGTTTTCATATTTTACGATTTATATTATATTTGAATTAGTTTTAAGATAAAGATGGAGGGCGAAATAGCTAGATCTAATTTGTCATCGACGTACTCGGAGGGCAGCCCGACCGCGATGAGTCGGCTACCCGGCGGGTACCGCAACGTGCCGCTGCACGACAAGTGCACTATCGAAGACATGCTCAAGATGAAGGAGGCCTTCAACCAGGCTTACAAAAACCAAATGGTGCCGCTTGAGTTCAGGGCCGCGCTGAGGAGTCTACTTAATGTGGAGTACGACGATGAGGAATTTAATATACTTTTCTTAAAAGTAAATATTTAAACTTACTCGACTAACAACTATGTAGGAAGGTAACTAAGTAGGTGTCCACACACCACACACACGGTAGGTACGTAGGTGTTACATAAGGGGTTCAGTGCCCTGATCCTAGGTGCTACTATGGGTGCCTATACTACTTACCTAGTGTTATTAGGTTCAACTACAATATTGTGAAAAGTCCAATGTCTTGTTATTATTTACTCGATACACTATGAAACAGATGTAGGTACGTATCTTCAATGTTTATTCGTCTTAATTATTAGATGAACACAAGTCGTACGGGAAATGTCGACTGGGACGAATTGGTTTCACACCTGATCCTCGGCTACTTCGGAAACGACGCTGAGAACCAGCGGGAGTCCCTGCAGCCACCCATCATGGGACTGCCCGTCATCATGCGCTCGCAGCACAGGCACCCAATATCTAGGATATGCTTCTGTCCCGACGTCGACAAGGTTATTATTGAAATTTTAACTAGCAGCAAGGCAAGGCAGCCAGTGTCATCATTATCAGCCATAGTCTACTTCTTGGCGAAGCAAAACTACCGGGAGTAGTAAAAAAGGGAGACCTGCCTATTATTAATTATTATGTTTTTCGGCTTACTCACGTAATTATTTGACATTCAATAGCAACGCGATAGTCGCCGCGTCTCGAAATGCTGCTCATGAATATGAGCCTCTAGAATGGCTTGAAATTAGTCGAGGTCCTCGTGACTAAGCCGAAAAACAATAATTGAATTAGTATGCCTCACGAAAGTTATTATACATTAAAAAAAACACCTGCTTGAGTTTCGGTTTCCCGTTCTCTGATGATCATTGAAGTCAGACATCAAATTGCGTAAAAGGTGTCTCTGACGTCATCACTGGCAGCAGACTCGTGTGAACAGTTAACGAGAGTCAGGAAGTAGGTTTTCATGATACTCGTATCGTAGTTTGCCAACCCGATAGCTCTTATGATTTTATTGTCCATAGTCCATACTCACAGTACAGCCCCGCTGATCAAAAGGCATAGTCACGATCCATCAGGATTCCGAATATGGGAGGCCAACGTCCAGGCATTTAAAATGATCTAAAATATTTATTTGTTACGCCAACAGGACCGAATAAAGGATCCGATGCAGGGTATGTACTTAACGGCGAGTCGCGACGGCATGGTCAACTGGTGGTCACTGGACATGAAGCTGCTGAGGACTGCTTACTCCTCGAGTCGTAAATAGACAAATCATACTTTTGATCTACATCATAATTTATGGATACATACAGGGTGATACGTTATTAGAGCACAATCTCGTATATACTGTGCTCTAATAACAGATCAACCTGTATATCTCACTCATTTATGTAAGGTACAGTCATATACTGTTCCAAGTGTTTGTATCAAACAAATCAAGTTTCTCATTCGTGTAGTCGTCTTGGAACTGTTAGACTTCAAGACTTTCCAGTATCATATTATATGGCCTACCTACCTACTAAGGTACCTACTTGCCTTGCATTCCCTGTAATTTTCTTGTCTTTAATGATTTGTATAATAAAATAACCATCGTGAGACAATACTAAATTGGGTGAATCATACGGCTTACTGATTCTTTTAATTCTGTCCCTAAGCGCATCTGAAAGTCCGCTCAACATGGGTGACGGACATGGTGTGCATGCCCGACGTGAACATCATTGTCACCAGCTCCACCGAGAGAGACCTGCGCTTCTACGACTGCATTGCTAAAACTTTTACCTTAAAAATAAATATCACCAGCTGGGATTACATGGTGAGAAATAATTATTTCTGCGTCTCTCCCTCTCACTTACTCTAAGTAATAGCATTCAACTATGTCTCCGGCTGGCTTCATATTAACGTAGATATAATTTACAGATCTGCACAATGTATTATCGGTTCAGTACAGACATTAATGAAAAATGCATGTTAGTCTGCGGTGACGTGGGGGGCAACGTGCGCGTGCTGCTATTCTCGCCAGTTCTACGTGGACCCTTCAGGAATGAGGCTGGTCGAGCCTTAATATCATTGCGACACGTGGATCTGCAAAGACGGGTGACTGTTTTATTCCAATTTTATTTATTTGTATGTTACTATGTACCTGTTCACAATTTAAGTTTTCTGATCATCTTATTTTGTAAACATTCTGATATCTGGGTCTTGGTTGCAGCCTAAGATGCTTCCAGAACTACAGTTAGTAGATCTAGGGCGTGTGCACAGCGAGTGGGTGCGGCAGGTGTCGTACTACGAGTCGCTGCACTGCGTGGTCTCCTGCGCCACCTGCAGCGACTCGCTCCTCATGTGCGATCTATCCGGCTCCAAGACACACAACATGTTTAGGGTCGATAAGGTCGGTACATGTTCAACAGATTTTAACATTTTCAAACCTAGTGGTGCGCAGCGAATTGTCAATGCGCACTAGTTACTTAGTATCTTATTGTACAGTCCAAGTCAGAAGTCGAAGCACAAAACAGGACTTGTAACTCGACGTATTCCTCTAGGGAGGTGATAATACAAGTAATTTCCTACAAAAATAGATGTGAGGCTGCTGGTCCGAAAGTGGCTAGTTTCTGAGATATTCAACATTTTCGGTTTTGGTGCAAAAAACCCCATTTAACTAAAAAAAATTCAATAAATAAAAATCTATTAGATTGATTTAAGTGATTTTAGTTTTAAGTGATTATCGTGTTGATTTTTACATGTGGGCACATGAAGTCTCTTATTTATGCAACGCTCACTAAGCGTAGGTACTAACTATTAGAAGAACTTCCTTCACTACCTTAGGTTATTAGCTACCCAAAAACAATAAATTATTAAGCCTATAACTGCCGACAAAAACTGTTAAAGGCTAATCCTCCGCTAGCGTCGGACATCATTGGCCGACACGGCACGGCAGCCAATGTGTTAATGAAATTCACAAAAATAAATTAATAACTTGATGATAAGTAAAGATGATAAGGAAAACGGGCAAGTTCAAAAACATTATTTATTAAATTTTGTAGCACACGCTTCCTTATCTCTGTGACGGTCACTCTTGACTCCCTGTATATTATACAAGCTCCTACGGCGCGGTTTCGCCCGCTGCTCGGCTCCTGGTCATAGCGTGATGTTTTACTTTCTATATAGCTTCCTCGATAAATGCATTATCCAATAAACAAACAAACATACTTTTCATGTGTATATTATATTAAACATAGATTGGTTGATCTTTTTTATAAGAAATGTACCTTTATAGGGTATTCAATGTTTCGAATTTGATGAAGAGGCACACGTGTTGGTGACGGGAGGTCCCGACTGTATGGTCCGGGTGTGGAACCCGTTCGTGACAGCCAAAGCTAACGTGTTGTTCATAGGACACCACGCCGCCGTCACCTGCA